TGGAAGCAAATTGCAGGGGCATCACAGGACAACAAAAGGGAATTCAAGTACATTGAGATCCCAGGGGATAGTTTTAGAGGAGACTCTGAACATGACTGGTTCCTCTCCATTAAGCGAGAATTTCACAAACTGTGTTACAGATTTTCTCCAGGGGACTGAACGTGTGCATCTCCTACGTAATATACTTCGTAAGAACTAAGTGAGAGTCACCATGTGGTTAGGATTCAAAATTTCAATCCAGTAGCCATCAGGATCCTGAACAAATGCAAGTCCTTTCATTTTACCTATTAGAAAAAAAAAAAAATTACAAGATAAGACTACATGACTAGCTCTTAATGTCAAATATGACTACTTTGAAAAGTGTTTTTCCTTTTTTTTTTTTCCCTTTTGCATGAGCATTAGTTTGAATTTAGACAGCTAATTCTGAAAACATCCAGATTACTTTCTAATCAGCATTAAATCTTTGTATGCTAAATTGTCAGTCTTACTCTCAACAAAGCTGTAGTTTAAAATCACTTTGGAATTCTATCTTTTGTTGACTGAAATAAGTTTTCTGCATATGCCCCTGTAAGCGTTCATCCTCTAAATTTACAAAAATATTTTTGTGCTCCGGGATGTTTTGACATATTTTCCTCAAACTGGCTTTACCAGTATAAAATCCTGCATTCCTGTTCATCTCCCATCACTCCTGCCTCCACGCTGAAGTTTAACATTACTGGTTTTTCCTTGTTCCTCCCCCCCCCCGATGTGGTTTACAGTACACATTTGCATCACTTCATAAAACAGAGAAATGGTCCCCAGTATGGGGTCTTCAACAGTAAGTTAGGACAGCACAGCTTACCATGTTAAAGTGTTACCACAGGCTTTTAATTATACTTGCTCTATTAGGCTATTTACCAACCTAATTCTTAATATATTCTAGTTACAAAAACTTCCAAGAGAATACTAGATACTTGATTCAGTAATATAGGGGAGAAAAAAAAAATAACATTAGGTCTCTCTGCCTGCTCCACAACAACGAATGTGAAGTCCAAACCTTCCTCCGCCTTGGCATTTGCTGCATCAATTTTACTTCTTAATGTTAAAATACAGCCTTTGCTCTCCACCCCCTGACCACTTCAGGAGTTCTTTCCTGTGATTTAATTCCATTTACAGTCTAAGCTTCCCTCCCCTCCTATGAGCTGTGTAGTGATACAGAATCAAAGTCAGGAGCTCTCAAGTCCAACTCTCTCAAGGTTCACCAGGTGCTGAACAAATTAAAAAGGGCTCTAGCTAAAATGCTAGAAATACTAAATTCAATTCTTAAATCAAGACATCTATGTTCAAGTGAAGTTTTCAGCTGCACTTAGAATCATAGAATCATAGAATGTTTTGGGTTGGAAGGGACCCCTAGAGGTCATCTAGTCCAACCCCCCTGCAGGAGCAGGGACACCTCTAACCACATCAGGTTGCTCAGAGCCCCAGCCAACCTGGCCTGCAATGTTTCCAGGGATGGGGCCTCCACCCCCTCTCTGGGCAACCTGTTCCAGTGTTTCACCACCCTTCACCACCTTCACCACTTCTTACATTTGCTTCAGCTGAGAACACCGTGAATAAGATGAAAATCATATAAGTTTATTTTCAATTACTTGTTTTTATTCCTCTAGCAAGGAATCTAGATCAATTCCAGTACGTGTAAACTGAAGCTTCGTGCACTAATGTTACTTTCAAACTAAAAAAAAAAAACCTCCACCATAGGGGCAACAGTCTAGTTGCTATAGACAGAAGGAAGTAGTAGTATCCCAGATTTGTGTGTGCTGCTGAGTATTAGATGTCTGTTTTGGAATGCATCAGTCCTCATGAGGCCTCTTCATGAAAGAGGATCCAGTTGAAAAATGCAAGACTTCTCACCACCAATTTCTGCATTTTATGCTATTTTGACATAGACATTCTTTGTTTGTGTACTCTCTAGATATCTGAGCTACACATTTCTTAGTAAAAGTTATACAAGTCAAATATGATACAGACCAATGAGGCTGTTTTTACCAAAACTGTCAGAACAGTTAAAATGGTAATAGCTAATTGGTGGCGTGAGGTGGATTTAAATAAAAATAGCCAGAAAAGTCAAGAATTACTCACTTTTAATTGGTGGGAGTAACTGTCTTCTGAGTCATCTTATTTTCATATTGTAAGAACCAAGCCAATATGAGATGTGGGAATTTGATCCATTTTAAAGTAAATTCTGTAATAACTCTAGGCAGCAGTATACATAGTAAACTCTAATATCAACAGAGGACGTGAATTTAAGTGAAGGTCAGACTACATCCATAAGGCACATAGCTAGACTGATTAACTGTTGTTACAGAGATGGATCTATTGTCAGTTTTGCCTGCTATAAGAGGGTGCAGGGGTAACTGTTTCTAGCACCTTCTAAGCAGTGACAACTACTAGAAATGTATTACCCGGCTTTTCAGGAAGATCTACTAGGCATAATATATCAAAAAAAGGAAAAAAAAAATGGACTTGCATTTCTGATCAGGACTTACCATCATCTGGTTTCTTCACAAATTTCACTCCTAATTCTTCAAACCTCTTACAAGCTTTATTGACGTCAGGGACAGCAATTCCAATGTGTCCTATGCAACAAGATGAAAAGAGTGAAGTACACTGTAAGTATTGCTACGTGTTCTAAGGAAAAGTTTACATGCTGTAGTTCACATAAAATATGATTGTATACAAGAAAAACAGTGCTTCCAGAAAGAGTGGCATTTTTAGTATTAACGTTATTCTCCTTCAGAAAGCTGGCTTTCTGATAATGCCTTTTCAAATAGGAACTTTAGAGTTAAAATATCTCATATTGTTTAGATGAGAGTATTAACTCGAGTAGGAAAAAATAAGATTTTCAATCACACTCTTTTAGTTGTGTTTCCTTTCTTGAAGCATGTCCATGTAACAGGATTTTATTGCATTTCCTCAGTTCAACAGTACAAGGAGTTTATCATTAATGCTGTATTTGTAGAGGCTAACGCTAGCACTATGCAAGGCCTGAGCTTACAAATGAATTCAGAAGCTTTAAATGTCAAGTGGCTAGATTGAGTATGAAACTTATTTCACAAGCCAGTGACCTTTCAAGCACTCAAAATATCAAATTGAGCCACACAAATACTATCCTCAGTGCTAGAAACAGAATTCTCCTTCTAGGTTAAAATGAGTAACAAGTGGATTATAAAACAGAAATCCAAATGTAAACCAGTCTAAACACCGTGATAATCTGATACACAAGAGCAATTGCTGCTCTTCATTCAGTAGTTACTATTAGCATATTGCCAAAGGATTAGATTCTTTTTAAAAAGCGGTAACCATGGCTCATTGCTCTGAAACACACTTATTTATGTGCTTTCACGATCTTTCACAGCATACATGCTGGAAGAAGAGAAAGAAAGGATGAGATGCAACTTTCCTTCCTTCCTAGTGCTAGTACATTTTCTTCAAAGTAACCTACTAGAAAAGTCTTTTCATCCATACAAGTTTAAAATACATTCTCTATTAGTTCTCATAAAAATCAAGCCTACAGTATATACTTACCCAATAACCTTTGCACAGAATTTATATAGATGTTTTCTAAAAAGCATTTGAAACTGCGTTTTCCCCCAATACACAAGAGATAAAACACAATCACAACAACCCAAAACTTAAAAACTACAAACACAAAACTAAAGACCTACCAAATCCTCTGGGATCAGAATTGCCATTGTGATAAGACTGATTTTCATCATTTTCAGTGCCCCAGTTGCTGTAAGAAGTAATTATTACATATTGAAGAAAAGCATTGAAATGAACAAATCCTAAGCCTTCAGCTTCCCCAGGAGGAGGAGTTGTTTCTCCTAAGAAACCAGAGAATTGCAGCTGTTGGCTGCATTCATTAAACTATCAAGATTTTCCCCAGTCACAGGTCCCAGGGATAGTCTCGGGGCTAACCCAGTCATGTTCACAGCCCTTCACGAGCCGGGTTCTCCATTTGAATGAGTTGGAGGCACTCCTGTCTCATTCAGAGAGAGAGAAGGTTGCGCTGCACGAGCCCGTTCATCTGCCCATCACTGGGGAACAAGCAGTGACGGTAGCAGGTCCTGAAGCCAAGCAAGACAGTGGGGTATTTGGGAGATTCTTTCTGCACACAGAATCACGGAATCGTAAGGGTTGGAAGGGACCTCAGGAGATCACCCAGTCCAACCCCCCTGCTAAAGCAGGCTCACCTAGAGCATGCTACACAGGACTTCATCCAGGCGGGCTTTGAATATCTCCAGAGAAGGAGACTCATTGTAACTCACAGTTATAACGATCACTAGCGTTAACCAAATTGTCCTGTTTATGGGAAGGCGTATGTTTTGACTTAATACCTCTTTTGATGAGATTCCAAAAGCAATAATTATCCATTATTAGGATGCTCTGGAGATCCAAAAGAAGTTCTAACCACACTGGGTTTTCCTAAATTCTGTGGCTTCCCTACCCAACTGGCATGCGTACTCGGAACAAAGCAAGCATTATTTTGTGTTTATGTTCTGCTGTTCACCTAGCGGTTTGAAAAAGCTCTGGGAAGAGAAAGATTAAACTTGCCAAGTATCCAAGATCTCGGCCATATTTTAAGGCTATATGACAGCGAAGATGTTTCCACATTAATGATGACATTTTTTATTCAATCCAACAGGATTTACACTCATCCACTTCTGTTTAATCACCATTAGCTAAATGTCACTTCTCATTGTATTAATACTTACTGTGTCAGTTCAAGTGTAGCTTTTCTAGAGAAGGTCCAAGCTGTTCTCTCAGTTTTATCTTTTGGGATGTCATTTTTATCTTCATATGCCAGGAAATAGAGGGAGAACTTCATAGTAGGGAAGTCGAATTTTTGAAGCAGCCTAAATGGCAACAATTATTTTGAAATAGTAACTTTAAAAGGTCATCAGGTAGCTTGCAAATAAACCAAGATGCTTCCCCCATGGAAGAATTATTGCAGTGATTTTTTTGCCTTTCTGACTGTAATCCACATCTTAAAATAACGAAGTTTTGGACTATCACATAGAAACATTCCAGAACACCTTACAAAGCTACAAAAATGAGAAGAATCAGACGTTTTAAAGCCAAACTACCAGTAACTGAATAGCAAAGCCAGTACAGAGGCTCAAGTCTTGAGGTTGCCACTTTGTTACTTTTCTGTATTTCCTCAGGAAGACCTTTATGTTTATCCTCTTTAAAACACCACCAAGGATTAAAAATATTTACTTTGAAACTTACTCATTCTGGGGAGCTCACTGGCACCAGACAAAGTTTAAGAACACAGCAGGATTAAAAAATAAACATACCTCTAGGTGAAATATTTTTATAATTTCAATAGCTAGGTATAACAGTAAAATCAATTTCAAATGTGACGATTTAATCAACTACAGAAGACTTGAGGTGAGAAAAAGCTGCTTATAAAACGTATCCCTTTACTAGATGCAAGAAGCCACCCGCTTTCCTGTGAAATATTTCATACCTCTCTTTTCACCTAATTTCCAGAGATGGTGTGGCGTACTTCAAACCATTTTTACGTAGCACATTTAACCAGAACAAGTAAGCATGCAAAATAAATCTAATTTCCTCTTCCACTTACTAGGTATTTCATTTTTATTTTCTCACATCCACATCTTCACTAAAGTAGTAGTAGTTTACTATAGTCTGGACTAATTTCAAGATGTTTAAAAATATGCTAGATTTTTGTTCTGAAAGAACTCATTTGAATGTGCAGAAAGCCTTGGCAAAAACACGTTCAGCTGCTGCAGGGCACCTGCCTCCCAACAGCCTGCCTGGACCCCGCCTCCAGCTTCCATGGCCTTGGTCTCCTATGATCGGAAGTAGACAGGAACTAGTAGAGAACTTAATTTCAAGATTTATAGCAATGACTCCTGATTATAAGCGCTGTCATAAAGTTACCAGTTACTCAGTGAGAAGGAAGTAAGCAAGTCGTACGCTGATACTTACTGACCTGTTTAAGAAAAAGAGAAATTTCTGGTCAAGGCCAGTATTAGTTAATTTGCAGCTTAGGCATTAACTGTGCTGTGGGATTTGTCCGAGATTGCCAGGCTGGGATTTGTCCGAGATTGCCAGACTGTCCAACCGGGCATCAGCTGATGGGCCAGCACTGTTTGTGTAGTTGGGACCAATTAGTATAATTACATCAAAATAACAAAAACTTTTCAGAAGAATAGTAGAAAAAAACCCGAAACTTATTGTGGCGTACAACTTCTACTCACGTCATTCCAAGAATTCTCGTATAGAAATCCAGTGACTTCTTAGGATCCTTTACTCTTAACATTGTCTGCTGCAACAAAAAATCCTGGGGAAAAAAAGGTTGATTTTTTCTACATCAACTGGGATTTAATGATGGGTATTAACAAAGATGCCAGTTAATAACGAATGAATCTAAAACCAGCAGGTTTAGAACTAACAAATAGAGTACTGCATAAAGTATAAACAACCCTTTTGTCCTGATCCTACATACATACATGTGTTAAATAAATATGCCTTTATAACATAATGTTTAAAACAAATAAACAATACCACCACTGGTATCACTCAATAGATATTAACGGCGGTATCAAAAGAGGGTATAATTCATTTTTGTTATTCTTTTCTGGAGCTGTACTGCACATGAACAGCTCTGCATGCAAGCACACTTAGGCACATGAGGATTTGATACTGGGTCTCACTGCAGACACAGAATTTAAATAAAGCAAAACTCCTGAACTCATTATATTTATTATTTCATTGCCGGGTGTTGAATTTCTGTCAAACTTGGCGATATCTTGGCAGCGAAACCGGCCTGCAACTCTGTAAGGGTATTTTCCTCAAGCCACAGGGTAACTTTATATACCAAGGGCTAATGCGCAACTAAGCGGATGAAAAGTGAACAGTAGGGTAAAAATATTTAGGGTGTTTCGAGGGGGTTTTTTTGGGTTTTTTGCACCCCTGGCAGGTGCTGGAAGGAATGGAAATGCAGTTAATTCATTTCCTTATAAACTATTACACTCTATTTTATTATTCTCAAAGGTCAAGAGAAAGAACACCAACAATCATTTTTGTAAGACATGTTAGCGGTGTGACTGCTGTGTCATAGAGGGAAAGAAGAATGAGAGTTTGCTAATTAAAAATAAAAAATGTAGAGTGACAGATAATTAAGCTGTGTGTCCCATAAGTCCACAAAAGTGTGTATCAAGGAGAAAAACTGAGAACTTCATAATCTATATGTGTTTGACTGCAGAACACATGGAACTGCTTCCAGGAAAGTTATTAACTTTTCTCCTGAATCAAACAGGAGTAAGAGTGCACAAACCCAAATGTTTAGGTAGGAATTTTATTTGGGTGTGAGAGCGAAGTTTAAGCCTGGGTTTATCAGAAAACTGGCTACTTTCTTAGAAAACTGCCTGCCCACAAGTGAAGGTGTCAGTAAGAAAGAGTTCATGTTGCAGTTTATCTGCGGTTGGAGCTGCATTTTTTCCGAAAAAGAGGAAAATTGATCGTTAGTTCTACTAGGAACTTGGGAAGGGCATATAAGATTGTTGCAATCTGAGGTAAAGTCACAGAGGGTGAGCTGTTCATGACAAGCTGGCCCTTTTAGGTAAAGATGCAAGAGCAGACTTGGGAACTTGGCCCTGTTTTCTTCAGAGACAGAATGACAGTGCTAGGTTTGCCTCCTGTATGAGTAGGAATGAATTCAAAACAAGGAAATGAATTTTGCAGAAAATGAAAGTAGCCGAACTGAAAACTTTGCCTGAAAAGAATATCAATTTATACTTGCTGCTCAGCAGCATGTAAGAGTTGTTGACAGTAATATACAACAGAAAAACTAGAATCAAGTTTGAGTTTGATTTCATTGTAGCCAGTGATTATAAACATGCAACAAAAAAACCTTGTTCTGACAGGTGAGATTTTGACAATTAATAGAGATCGGGGAAGATGATGAAATCTTGGTATGTCACACTGAAGCTAGATTGTAAATCATTCAGTAAATACTGAACTAATGAAGTTATGTGGGGTGGTATTGTAATAATTCATAATATTATTTAGAAGTTTAATAAAGCATCTTGCCCAAGAGCCCAAGATCCTTAACTGCCTGCTAAACATTACAGAAATGAAAAAGAATTTTTCTCTGTTGTTTTTAAGCCTCAGTGGTGCACCTGGATTACATTTTCTCCATCTCAAAGAAGCTAAAAGTAGAGTTTATGAGACCAAAGGGAATACAGCTTAGTGTTGCCTTAAGGGTTAAAGTTAACAATGATGTAAGCAGCCTATGTGCATAAGATTTAGGCCTTATTGTCTAGTTTGCTGATGCTTTGCTGAAGTCAGTATTGTTTAGTTTGCTGGTGCTTTGCTAAAATCAGTAGTGGCTAGTTTGGATGTTTTTCTAAAGTAAGTAGTGTCTGGTTTGGATGTTTCTCTAAAATCCGCAGTATAGTCACTTAGTAGATTTAGAACCCTATTCGAGGATGGGAACAATCAGGAGGGGGTGAAGCAAAAGGACAGTAACGGGTTGCCAAGGTTGCCAGACTAGAAGGAATGAGAACTAATTTCAGCCTGAAGAAGAGAAGGCTGAGAGGGGACCTCATCAACACCTACAAATATCTCAAGGGTGGGGGTCATGAGGATGGAAGCAGTCTGTTTGCAGCGGTGCCCAGCACCAGGACAAGGGGCCATGGGCACAAACTGAAACAGAAGAGGTTTCAGTTGAATATGAGGAAGAACTTCTTGACTTTGAGGGTGACAGAGCCCTGTCCCAGGCTGCCCAGGGGGGCTGTGGAGTCTCCTTCTCTGGAGATATTCAAAGCCCGCCTGGACGCTGGCCTGCGCCCCC